ATGAAAGCATTTTAAATTGTTTTAGCCTGGGGAAAGTGACTTCCCAAAAAAAAAAAAAAAAAAAAGGGGGTGCCAGAGGCTGGTAATTGAAGGCCTGCCAGTCTGAAGCACAAGAGTTATACATCCAGTAAAAATTCCTTTACTAAATAGTGGTATGTTGCTGAGCAGAATAGTTATATCAAATACAGTCATTGTTTGACTTAATCAGTTCTTATTGTATTTTTTTTTTTTGCAGATGGAAGAAATGTATAAAAAAGCCCACGCTGGTATACGGGAGAATCCAGTTCATGAAAAGAAACCAAAGAGAGAAGTCAAGAAAAAGAGGTAATATCTCTTTTATGTGAACTTAAATCTGGGTTTTAGAAGATCTTGGTGCATTAACTCTTAAGATACATACCAGAACTCCACTTACTATTAAGGGTCAAATTAATGAGAGAGACTTCAGATTTCAAAGTGTAATAACTGCATAATAATGCAAGGAGTTGAAATTTCTAACTTGGACCGAGTCTGGCCTTTAAATGCTAATGTTTTAATATCCAGCTAAGCCAATAAAAATCTTGACAGAACAAAGCAGGTGAATAGATATGATGGAGGAAGAGCACTAGCTTGTCTTCACATTTGGTCACTGAAGATGTTAAGTTGCCTTTAGAAAAATTATTTCCAGGCCTTTGTCTCTTGTAGCAGTGTTTCTCAACCCATGGGTTGCAACACAAAAGTGGGTTACAAGAATACATGACAGGGTCACAAACAAACTTTAAACGTGGATCAATAAACATGAAAAACAGATTCTCCTTTTTTAAAGGAGAAAAACATGGGAAACCATGGCGTTTCCCTTGCAGGCTAGAACTGCCAGTCTGCAAGAGGGCTACTGGGGGGGGGGCCCTGCCCCTACCACACTGGGGGGGCTGGGCCTGAGACAGTGGGTCAAGAGTGAAGGGCAGTGGGCCAGGACTAGCCACTGATACTTACAAGTGGGTCCTGGTACAAAAGAGATTGAGAACTGCTGTCCTAGAGTACTATAAAATATGATCAAAAAGTGGTAAAGTTTGATTTTGAATGGTATTGTAGATTGATTATTTTTTTGAGATTTTAAAAAAGGGAGTTCTGACAAAGTACCATACCTCCATGTATTAAGAATTATTCAGGAACTTGAGAATTGTTATGCTGTTTAATCTACTATCCTGTGTCTGAGGCTAACACCACAGATTCCAAAAATCAAACTTCTTGTAGGTATAGGACAACTAATCCATTGCTTTAACTAATATGAAAGTGTTGTCCAATACTCCTTTCTGCACTGACTAATTATTTCATATGGCTGTCTCACTCTCTCTTCTTTCAAGAAGAAAAGATGCCTTTTTATCCTAACTTACCACAGATATTTATAATCTATGTTTGTATTGCAGGTGGAACCGTCCTAAGATGTCCCTTGCGCAAAAGAAAGATCGCGTTGCTCAGAAGAAGGCAAGCTTCCTCAGAGCCCAGGAGCATGCGGCTGATAGCTAAGATGCCTTCCACAATTTTCTATCAAGCCTCTGGGAAAAAATAAATTTATTGAAGAAGCTAACTATGTAGTTATTGGCTCATTAACAATTCTTTTAAGCCTTTTCAGGAAACCAATGTTTAACTTGGTCAAAACTGGGTATGTCAATACGAGAAGTTTACTTCACCATTGACTAATTAGCTATGCAGTAAATGTCTGTCTACACACGTGCCCATAAGAGCGCACACAACTAAAATTCCATAGTGGGGTACTATTGTAAAGTACAAATACACACAGCTTCTGTATAGTGTGTGGAGAAACTTGCTAAAATTTAGTCAAATATTGAGCAAAGTAAAACATGATTCAGGTCATGCATATTGGTCCTTCTAGTCCTAATCCATGTACAAATTTTCATTTCTTGAAATAAGTTTTTGCCATTAGGTGTCACCTTTTCCTCTAGTAGCAGTCCATAGGGGTTACACATTTGAGCATGTAGAAGAAAACTATAAACTATCCATTGTAGAGAAAACTAAACAAGACCCTGCTTTAAAAAGTACTGAATACTAGTTGTTGCTATATTGGCAAAGAATTGTTAAAGTGGCAAAGGAGTCTACAATTTAAAAGCCATACTTTGGGAAAATAAAATTGCAGCATGTGTATTGGCTAAAAAACAGGACTTTAAAACAGCATAGAAGAATGCTAACCAGGCTGCCTGTGAAAGGCAGGGAGACCTGTAGCAACAGCTGGCCCAAGGGTTGTCCTAAGCTACCATAATATCAGTAATTCTAAGTTTTCTGGGGGTTTTCCACCATAAAACCAAACCTGATCTGATAATTTTTTAAGTCTTGAGTATCTTACTGGAGAGTTTAAGATCACCATTACTAAAATTCTAATATGCATTTCTAGAATATTTTTACTTTATTTCAATTCATTAAAACTTGTACTGTAACTTAGAATTATTCTAAAGTTTTAGAGAAAATGCATAGAGTTTCAAGGGGTCCAAGTTGGTTATTAATATACAATGTCTGTTAAACATTCCAGCCACAATAGAACAATAATGATATCTTTTAAGTACAGTCAATCCTAGGTGTTCCATTAGACTTTTGAAGCTATAAAAGGAAGACAACCATATTCAAACAAGCTGCAACGTTGAACAGTAATTGAATAGAGACAAAGCTACACATACTAACTAACGAAGTGTATTAATACTCCCACACCATAGGTATGGACAAGAGAGCATTTATTTTGTACCTTAATAAAGTGATTTCTTTTTTGAAGGCAAGTACTAATATTAATTTAAGAAATGTTGGACATAGCAGTAAATGACAACAGAAAAGCTTTAAATGCATTTTCATCCCTCCCCTCTCCTACAGCCACCCCCACAAAAAGTTGCACACAAAATAAAAGACTAGATTTGTAAAGAATACTTAATTGGCTAGCTCCCATAAAAAAAAAAAAAAAAAAAA